TTTTTTACATAATTCTTGAGCACATATCTTGTCACAAATTCTCTCTCTGACTTAAGTATCGGAGGGGCGACGAGAACACACCTCGACACCTTTGTTTCAGGTACCGGAAGATCTTGTTCATGATCAAACGGAATTCAATAGGTGGCGATTTTGGTAAGATCATTTGTGCCGTCTGTGGGAATGCTACCAAAAGTCATGGTGAATACACGTTCAAGCCATCTTTCAGCAAGTTCATCCGTTCCAGACCAGCCCCTCGCCCCTGGTCGCCCAATCATCAAGAAGAGTCGTCAGCAATGCTAGCCCCTCAACCAGCAATAGTTACTGCTGGAGCATTCGAAGAACTCCACCAGTAGGTTGCGACGCTAACCCAGCTGTTGATTGAGAGAAACGCACCCTAAGATCCGGCACCGGAGCGTACACCGGTCCCCCAGGAGGATTTCGCCAATGATGCTCGAGCTCGGGATACTCATGAGGCCTACGACAATGGTGGACCGGGGGGATCGGCTATACCCCCGATAACCTCGGCCTCGGGAGTGGTTACTATGGACTCAGGAGAACTAGCCCGAATTATACAGGATGGGATCAAGGCAGGACTACAAAAGAATACCAAGGGAATGACGGGTTTCATCCCTAGCACTCATTTTAAGCCAGAAGTCCTCTCCTATCCCCTCCCGGACAAGTTCAAGTTCCCTCGCGTGAAGGAGTACGATGGGACCACTGACCCTATCAATCACCTAAATGTGTATACGGACGTTATAAGCTTACAGGTAGCACCAGATCCGATAATGTGCAAGGCCTTTCCCCAAACACTGACAAACGCAGATAGGGATTGGTTCGCCACATTGGAGCCTAACTCTATAGCCTCATTCTCTGACCAGTCAACGGCAAGAAAGTGCTATGTCACGAACATCTAAGGATTGATCAGTGACGTCATGCAATTGACAACCAATGAGCTCGAGCTCGAGCATGACAGACTCGCTCCCGTTGAAGATTTGGTGGAGGTCGAGCTCGAGCATGGTAAGAAGGTGACCATCGGCTGGGAGCTTGATGCCTTCTTGAAAGAAGAACTCGTCAAGTGCTTATCCCGCAACATTGACGTATTCGCGTAGAAGGTTGAAGACATGCCCGGGATAGATGTTGACGTTATTGTCCATCGTCTGAATGTGAAGCCTGATGCTAGACCTGTAAAGCAGAGGAAGAGGCAATTTGCGCTCGAAAGGCGGGAGGTTATACGCGAGGAAATCAATAAGCTCATCAGTACCCGGTTCATTAGAGAGGTTCAATATCCGGATTGGCTCGCCAACGTGGTTCTTGTGAAAAAAGCTAATGGAAAGTGGANGTACCCGGTTCATTAGAGAGGTTCAATATCCGGATTGGCTCGCCAACGTGGTTCTTGTGAAAAAAGCTAATGGAAAGTGGAGGGTGTGTATCGACTTTACAGGCCTTAACAAAGCATGCCCGAAAGATAGCTATCCTCTACCTCGGATCGACAATTTGGTGGACAGCACCTCGGGTCATAAGTTATATAGCTTTCTTAATGCTTTCTCAGGCTATCATCAGATTCTTATGGCTCAAGAGGATCAAGAGAAGACTTCATTCGTAGCCGACTCCGACATGTACTGCTACAGGGTCATGCCATTCGGTTTGAAGAATGCAGGGGTGACATATCAAAGGCTCATCAACAAAGTGTTTACTGATATGATAGGGAAAAACATCGAAGCCTACGTTGACGACATGGTGGTCAAGAGTAAGCGGGTGAATGAGCATATCACTGATCTTGAGGAAGTATTTTCGACAATGCGGAGGTATAAGATGAAGTTGAACCCGACGAAATGTGCTTTCGGGGTGGAGTTGGGAAAGTTTCTGGGTTTTATGATCACTCACAGGGGGATTAAGGCAAATCCAGACAAAATACAGGCCCTAGTTAACATGGAATCACCAAGGAAAAAGAAAGAAGTTCAGAAGTTGACAGGTAGGGTTGCTGTTTTAAATAGATTCATGTCTAGAGCAGTTTACAGGTGCTTGCCTTTCTTTAAAGTCCTGAGAGGCAATCGTAACTTCAGTTGGAATGAGGATTGTGAAAGAGCTCTTCACGAACTCAAACAAACGTTGGCAACTCCTCCAGTCCTCACAAAACCCGAGCCCGAGGATACATTATACTTGTACCTAGCTGTATCCCAAAATGCAGTAAGCGGAGTATTAATGAAAGAGGTGAGGAAGGCCCAACAACCCATCTACTATGTGAGCAAAGTATTGTTGGACGCCGAAACAAGTTATACATTGGCATAACAACTTTCCCAGGCACTAGTTGTGGCAGCTGGGAAGCTACGACAATATTTTCAGTCACACCCCATTGTAGTTCTCACTAACCAACCACTCAGACAGATACTCCAGAAGCCGGACGTCTCAAGTAGATTGTTGAAATGGGCTATTGAGCTTGGTGAATTTGATATAGAGTTCAAGCCCAGGCCATCTATCAAAGGACAAGTGCTAGTGGATTTCATCGCAGAGCTCACCCCGAGGACTTGAAGACTCGGGGCTAGCCCGACGACTGTGGTTGACTCTTGGGAAATATTCGTAGATGGAGCATCGAACTCCTCGGGCTCGGGTGCACGCATCATCATCAACAGTCCGGACAAACTAACCGAAATTCAATGTGTACTTAGGTTCGAACTTGAGACCACCAACAACGAAGTGGAGTATGAGGCTGTGGTAATTGCTCTTAAGCTCGCCAATAGTCTGGGAATTGAACACGTCAAGCTATTTAGAGATTCACAACTCGTGGTAGGACAGATTGAAGGAACATTCGAAAGGAAGGACGAAAAAATGACTATTTACTATTTAAAAGTGCATGATATGCAGAGACGATTCGAGGATTGCCAGATTCTAAATATTGCCAGGGCTAATAACGATAAGGCAGACGCGTTATCAAGATTTGATTTGCATCCACACCCAATTCTCGAGCTTCAGGTGTAGATGCACGGGGGCTTATGATGATGGCATTTTCCCCATACCTCGAGCACGACGACTAGGATAGGTCCCATCTCCCAATTTGGGGGCCCTTGTCCTCGGCCTTGTATGGTCCTCGAGACCTCGAGGACCAGACTCTCAAATTGGCTCCAAAAGTCGTAGTAATGGTCCTCGGGATGTGGTATGCTCGGGATATTAACTTAGCTTTTCCCAATATGCTCCGTAGTCGAGCATCACTGGTCCGTTCCCATGATGGTATCCTAACTCTACCAAGCTATTGTCTCTCAAGAGTTTTAAGTCAACAAGGAGTCTACCCTTGATGGAATTGCATGAAGGACGGGATACGTCAATTCAACACCTATCGCAACAACAACTCCTGAAAATAAGGAGATGAATCATACTTGAACTACACTACCAAGCACTATAAATATATCACCCTCATTCATTACTCAGGTACGTCTTTTGACATATATTCAGCGTATAATCTCTCAATTTCCCTGTCTGACTTAAGCATCGGAGGGGCGACTATGACACACCTCGACGCCTTTGTTTCAGGTACCGGAAGATCTTCTTCGTGATCAATTTCAGTGATCAAGCTCGGAAATCAACAGATGACGATTTTGGTGAGATCAAATTGTATGCGGCAATTCATCGTTGCTGAGATGACAACACCTCATTGGCTTTTTTAACTTTGCCTTTTGTCCAAACTTTAATGAATTGTTGCCATTCATTTTGTAAATCCATCTAGCAAATCTTTCTGTATATGTAGCATCGGTGATCCAAATATTACACAAGAATGGAAGATAATTATTTATTGGACCATGCTGCAAGTATATAAAGGTTGACACTCATGTGAGTTGACAGATTTTGATACATTGATCTTGATAATACGTTTTCAATCAATTGTCAGATTTTTTACACGTAAGGGATCGATTGAGGTATACAATTTGGGTATGCAAGTAGTTTAATGTATATTTAGTAGTCACAATTTCTGTTGCACCTACGTTGGGAAAACTGGTAAACACAACTCAAAATTCACAGAGGACAAGATATTCCATGTGTTGATCCCTAACTGACTACACCATAGAACAAATTGTTGAATTTCAGGATCAATGTGTACCATTTTTTTTTCCTTTATTAATTTGGTAAACTGTTAGGACGGTTTCAAATTATTTTTTACCATTGAAACATAAAATAAACCGTATTGAAACGGTTTGATTTGGTTCTAAACCAAATTATTGTTGGTTCATGTCTGATTTAATAATTATTTTTTTCACCCCTAAATTAGACCATATTAGGATTAGTTTAAGGGTGATTATATTCACACCACATCTTTTTTACAAATATAACATATTTTAATTACATTAAAGATTTTTAATTTTTTATTATTACATTTATATTTAATTTTTTTTTCTAATATTCTTATCTTTAACTAGGCAGTCTTGTCCTTAATTATAATTTTTATCCAATAACACTGTTAGTGTGCAATTCTATAATTGTTTTTATTTAAAAATAAGAGAAAAGAATTTTTTTTAATTCCATCTTAATGAAACTTCCAAAGATAATGATATGCAGGGGCGGATTTAGAAAAAAATTGGATACGAATGGCATAAAAAAGTTGTGAATATAGATATAATAATAAATAAATATTACGAACCTTTCAATCGATTAAGATGTGATGCACTTATTAGAAGTCAGATGAGAACATAACGTATTTAGGCTATGTTAGGTTTATTTAAAAAGTTGATAAAAATTTTAAATTTATAATTAAAAATGAATTTAAAGAAAATAAATTTTAAAAACTGGGCCAACATGAGCTTAGCCTTATTTGAAAGAACATGTTCATGATATACCGAAAACAACATATTTTCCAAATGTCAACTTACAAAAATACCCTTAAAATTAATGATTTTTTTAAAAAAAATCATATGAAACATATTTTAAAAGTAAAAAATACTGTGCAAAATTAATTGGTTTTTTTAATTAAAAAAAATGATATATTATGTTTTATTAAAAACTTGTGTTTGTCAGTCTAAAAGGTGATAGAAAGTGACAGAAAAAGTTATAGATACTAAAAGAAAGTAACAAATACTAAAAAAAGTGAAAATAATTCAAAAAAAGCAATATAAATTTTAAAAAAATTATACAAATTCAAAAAAGTGAAAGAAAATAAAAAAATGGCAGAAAATGAAAATAGTGACAAATACTCAAAAAAAGTGACAAAGTTCAAAAAAAAAATTGAGAAACTCAAAAAAATGTGATAAATTCAAAAAAAAAAAAAGAAGTGACAAACTCTAAAAAAATTGACAAAATTAAAAAAAAGTGACAAAAATTCATAAAAATAAACAAACACTAACAAAGTTGATAAAAATAGTATGATAGTGATTCTCGTTTAATAATTACTATTTATTTTATGTGTTAAGATTTTGGATAGAAATTTTCAATACAATGATTGTTATTCATGAGATAAGTTAAAGGCCACACATTGCACTTATTAAACTATGTGGCAGATGGTGAGGGCTCTAAACCTTACATAGCAACATGGACGACCCTTCCCATGGAACGAAATCGGACCGACCCCATTTGGGTAGATGCCCTATGCAGGAGCCAGTCCTAACGAGGCGATTGTACGATCCTTAATAGATCTTGTGGTGAAATGATTGACAAGACAATTCATTGTCAATGCCGCCTCTGCACACCTATACGGTCAAGTCCCAATTGCAAAAGCTAGGATTTGTGAATACGAAAGGGTTCCTAGCATTTAATATCTTGATTGACTGAGTGATGTGTGCAACAAGAAAGGTCAATCGATCAGATGAGGCCACATGCCCTATCATTTGACGGTTCTCGTTTATCTTACGCAAGTATAAAATCTCACACTTAATGCCATTCAAGGATAATGTAAGTTTAGACTATTAAGAGCCTGTCTGACTGTGATTTGAAGCCAATTTTCATTGAGAATCAGATCGTTGCAACGCATGGGCAGCCGCATTCTTTGACTCTTTTATCTCTATGGTGGGACCCAATAGCTGAAAATAACGGCTAGAAAATCAATTGATTCAATGCAAAACCGCTCTCCCAGATAGGGCCTAAAACTGCATTCTGATTACATACATTTTTAGCTATCTACTCCCAAGCTGACCCCCTTTTTTATTGATTGGAAGCTCATGTTCAAAGTTATCTCGCACCCTAAATCATTTATCTAGTTGACTTGATTGTTGGAGAAGGCCACATGCAACCAACGATTTGTCCAATTGTGCTGGAACTCGGCTTGCGTTGACGTGAGAGGTCTTGGAATCTGTTGGCCATATCATTGGTACATTTTTTGGGGTCAACAATGATAAATTTTCAAAAAAGTGAGAAATTTGAAAAAAGAAAAAGAAAAAGAAAAGTGACAATCTCTTGTGATAAAACTTCAATGATAAAAATTCCTACGTTTAATTCTAAATAGACCATCACTCACTCCCACGATAGTAATTCATATACTTGCCTCTAAAGCTAATTATAGTCCACTCCATGTGTGAATTTGCAGTTGTTTGTCTTTTTCTTTTATCCTTTTATTTGCCTCCCTTAAGAAGACCATACAAAGAACATAATTTGGAGTCTCTAAGCTAAAAGAGAGATGGTAGGGATCAAGGGTATGTATTTATATCCCTATCCTTCAAATCTAGAAAGACTAGGTGACCAAGAAGACCAAGGAAATCCCTATTCCTGATTGTGTCATTTCCCTCTATACTAGCAGAGCTTCAAGGGGGCAGGGAATTATGGCGGACAAAATCATGAGACAGTGTTTGTAGCTCAATACATAGGCTGGGTAAAGGCTAATGGATATTTGTAATCATTGTTTTATGAACACTACGACATTTGCCATCAACATCTTTTTGACCCCAGAATAGCACGGTGTTCAAAAATCAAGATTTTAAAATGAACACGCTGCGAGTTGAGATGAAGTTTTCAAATGTGTCACAACAGAAAAGGCCAAGTGAACAAAACGAGATGGAAATAAATTTTCGATTTGAGATGAAGTTTCTGATATCTAAAGAGTTCACATCTGTTATCTCTTCATCCTTGAACTCTTCCCTGTAAATGTTTTAGCAAATGAAATAAACTTTGAGTACAAATTTTATGTAACAAAATTGAGGCCGGTTAAGGGAGAGGATTCCACAACATAGAATATAGAAACCTGTTAAGATTGTAATGAAATAAAACCATATAAAATCCAGAATAAATTACCTCTTCTTTTGAGTATCCATTGCATCAAGAGTATCCTTCAACTCCTCTAGATGTGTTTTTGCAATTTTAGTTTCCAACCGCTCCTCGTATTTGGACAAGTTTTCTCTACAAGTTCCAAGCCTACATAACCGCAAGTGGAAAAGAAAAAAGTATAATCAGGTGACAAAAACCTAGAATTAAATGTTTGTGGTCTATGTACTTAGTTGGGAGATTTTGAGTTTTGGGGGTTTGTTTTAGTTTAGGACGTAATTAATTCAGGGTTTACACAATGTTTAATTAATTTAGGGTATTAATCTTGAGTCACTTTTTAGAGCATTTATAAAATAATTAACTAAACATATATATTATTAATTAAATATATTAAGGTCACAATTCTATATAACTTGGTAACAAATTATCGAATTAATTAGTTACAAATTATTTTTCAGTCACAATAAAAAAAATTTACAGATCACAATTTATTAATCGGTTACAAATATATCAATTTCATAGATCACATATTATTCATTGGTCACAAATCACAAATTTTACAAGTTACAACTTATTTTACGGTCACAAAATATTTAATTATTTAGTTATAAATTATTTTTTGGTCACAACTTATCAAAGTATTGGTCGCAATCTAACAATTTTTTAAGTCACACGTTATTTATTAATTACAAATTATCTATTTTATTGATCACGTATTATTTATTGGTCACACATTGATTAATTTATTGGTTACAATTAATCAAATAATTTGTGACTACCACCACAATCGCCGCAGCCATTGCCAACACCCTCACCATCAATACCACCTCACTAGCACAACCATTTGTCACCATTACCACCATCACAACATATCAGAACTCTCACTTCACCACTTCACCACAACAATTAACGCCACAACCATCACCTCATCACCAGCAAATTAGATTCAAAACTACCAACACCATACAAAAACCATCACCTCACTGTCGTCTTTGCCGCCTCCACCATTGCCGCTACCACGACAACCACCATTTCCAACCAACATTGTTTCACAGACTTGTTAACAAGAAACCATCACAGTCTCGACAAACTACCATGGTCTCATCAACAAATCACAATTTTCAATGCGTGGCCTATAACGATTTGTGTTTGTGCAGATCTGCTTTGCACAGTGTTGTAGGCTTTGTGTGCGGTGCCTGTGTTGGCATCATCGTTGTGCCTTGCTTCGTGTAGTGACGATTGGCAACCAACTTCATCGTGCGGTGGTCGATGACCGATGAATAGGGAGGTGTGTGGTGGGCAGAGAGAGAGATTAGGTAGGGAAATGAATTATGGGTTTGTGAGTGAAGTTTGGTTGAGATATATAGGTGGGTAGATTAATTTAATTTTACAATATTAATATTAATATTTAGAAAAATGACATACAAAAGATCTTATTTGTGAATAGTGAAACCTCTTCGGGTTTTTAGAATGTTAAAATTTAAAAATTGGGGGGGCGGAATTTCCACTTTCAAAATTGTCCTATGTCCCATGACAATTTTCTTCAGGAAGACAAGCACATAAGAGGAATCTCTCAAAGAGCGCTACATTTATTGCGAATTGATTCTCAGCCATAGGCATCGGTGACAGTACTAAAAAGTATCACTCCTATTATGATCATTGATTAGCATTCGACGCACGCTGGAAGAAAGGCGGAATGGATTCGGACGCTGAAAATTCGCAACAGAGCTCACGAGTTCTGGCTAAATGGCTGATCGGAGGGTTCGTAATTGGGGCCTCGGTTATGGGTTTCCAGATTTTTCAGCAGAATAAGAAGAAGAAGAGACCCATAAGGGTTTACATGGATGGCTGCTTTGATATGATGCACTACGGCCACTGCAACGCCCTTCGCCAGGCGCGAGCTCTCGGCGACCAATTGGTGGTTGGGGTTGTTAGCGATGCGGAAATCATTGCAAACAAAGGCCCTCCGGTTACTCCTCTTTACGAGAGGTCTGATATCTCCCTCTTTTCCAGATTTTCCCCCAATTCATTTGTCACCTAACTTACCATGCTTCTATTATTGATATATTTACTTATGTTAGATGCACATGTGGCCTTACTTTTGTTTCCAATCCCTAACATCTGCGAACAAATTTTCCATCCTTTAGTTGTCTCGATTTCATGGTAATTATATATATTTTTTGGTGGATGAGTATCTTATTACTCCATCTTTACTTTGGCTTGAAGCCCCACATGAGAATGGAGACAAAAAAAATTATGTACTAGTGTATGAGTCGGATTTAGGATTAGCACCAGCCAAATGAAGGCCCGAAAATGATGCAAATTTCTGAAGGTAAAATATCTTTGGAAGTTGGAACAGAAATAAGGCTGACTGAGCTTTTCTTATTTATTTTCGGTGTAATGCAATAGCTTGAAAAACACTGCCAATCAAGAGTTCTCAACGGAATGTGTGCGCACCTTGGTGGGCCAGCAGATTCACCCATGCAATTTTGCTTGATCGAGTTTCTTGGTCTGGTCTACTCATCAGCTTTTATTCATGTAGCATTACAGATGTTGCATCCTCATCACATTGGCTTTCAACAAACAGAAGCATAGGAATACTGGGAATTCATTGTTATCTTATATGTGTGTATACCAAATGGATCTATTACTAATTTTTGCTATGTTCCGCTATAACCTCTATCAGTTGTTATCTCATACTTTCATTTATTTGCAAACTCATAAATTTTGTTTGTTCGATTTTGCTGGCTTGTAACTATGGGGTGGAGCTAGAATAAGGACCCTCAGTTGCCGGTGGAAGGGGGGGGGGGGGGCTGGGGGGGGGGGGGGGGGGGGATGCGTTGTAGGTATATTGGAGTGCCACTGCAGTTTTTGGTCAAAACAATTACAAGAGATGGAGCAAAAATAATATTTGTAATGGTTTACTCATAAGTCTTTATTTTCATAAGTGGAAAGTCATAATATCCAAATCTTGTGGGTTTAGCCTTAAGAGTCAGGTCCCTCTCAATAACATTTGCTTTTACTTGAATGAAGCCTGCAAGGTGTCTTTTGTGACCTTTCAACAACTAACTCATTCATTTTGGTGCTGTTCTTTTATAGGATGATTATGGTTAGTGCGGTGAAATGGGTGGATGAAGTTATTTCCGATGCTCCTTATGCTATTACTGAAGATTTCATGAGAAAACTATTTGATGAGTACAACATTGATTATATTATCCACGGCGATGACCCATGCATTCTTCCTGATGGCTCTGATGCTTATGCTCTTGCTAAGAAGGTTGGCCGCTATAAACAGATTAAGCGCACTGAAGGGGTGTCAAGCACTGACATTGTTGGTACACTCATTGCCCTTCTTATTCATTTAACTGCATGTATGAAGCAAAATTTCTTGATTCACCTTATAAACTGTTGCTTTTGTGTCTGTATAATTTGTAAATGATTTTCCTAGTATATTGTCTCATCATCAACCATCAGATTCATGTTTTAATATTTGTGGATCAATGTTTAAGAAATACAACAAGCTATGAGTTATTCCTGATCAACAGGAATTGGCTCTTGAATCTTTTATGGTCGCTTCGTCTAACCGAAAGGTCCTATATTATTGAATCTTTTATAAAACACCGAGCCGTGTTAATTTTATCTACTCCTTCCTATTCTAATTTCTTTTTATTGGGATGACTTCATCTCTTGTAAATGAATTTTATTTTAAATGTTTACATGATATGCTCCACCAACCTAAGTTGGACTTTTTAATTTATCTTCAATTGGTACCATCTACGTGCAGATCATTTCTAATTCATGCTTTCCAGCATGGCTACACATCAATCTTAAAACCCTCATTTTGTTTAGTTAATGAACTTTTTGTACTTTTAGCTTGTCTAGTAACTGTTTTGAAACTTAATACGTATTTTCAAACACATAGAATCTGTCAATTAATCTCCATTCAAATATTATGCAAGAAATACCTATAAGAATACTCTTTAGGATGACATTATCCACTATTTTCACTCTAGTATGATTGTTATTCCTACTAAGATTAAACATGACAGTCAACTATTCCGTCTTAGTTCTACTTCTCTTAAAACATTTTGATTTCACAGTGCTCCCCTGAAGATCCAACTTATTATTTATCTTGCTTCTATTTTATTAACTAAAACTATCTTATGAGCAAATAACATATGCTAAAGGTCTTAATCTTGGATTTGTCTTACGAGCTCGTCCATAACTTGAAGTAAAAGGATAGGGACTCGTGTTGCAATCATGCAAGTCTAAGTAATATAATTTTTTTAATTACCCGTTATAGAGTTACTCTTGACTGCTCCATCTTACTTATCTTTAATAATATTCTTCACTTGCACCCACCATGGCACTTCCATGGACGATCTATCATATAGGTTTTCAAATTTAACAATAATCATACACAAACATTATATATACTCTATATTTCAATTAATCTCTGAAGTAGTAAATGACTTTCATAGTAGATCTCCCAGGTGTAAAACCAAACTATTTGTCAGCGAACCTTTGAATTGCACTTAGTAGGTGGTCAATCACCCTTTCTAATAATTTCCCAGTATTTTTTTTTTGATAACCGTGGATGTCCGGGTCAGCTTGCGCGCACCTCGACTAATTCCACGGGGCTCTGAAGTTTACGGTCGGATACTCACCTCAGTGGCCCTGAGGGGACTCGAACTGGTGACCATTGGGGAGCAAACCCAAGGCCTGACCAATTGAGCAACCCCTCAGGGTTATCCGCGACGAACATTTGAAGTATCATACCTTTANAGAATTACCTATGAATTTATAACCTTAGTTTGTACAACCTTGAATATCTCATTATTCTTATAAATTAAACCAATAACACTCTTCTGCAAATCACGAGGCTTAGTTTTTTCGCTTTGAATTCACTATTTCATCAATCATAAAGTACCCAATTCGCCCATAAACTTCCACACTTCAGTGCAGATTCCATCAGAATCTTCATTCTCTTCATAGCCAGTCTCACTTCTGCGACTTAGTTCTTCTAGTATAGTTAAAATTTCTCTTTAGTCGAGTTTGACAGATTGTCAATATCCATAATATGCTTTCATTTAAATAATTTGTCTGAACAATTCCACCATTTTCTGTGATGAAAACACTTTTAAATAAAAGTATTTTATCTTCATCCTTGCACTTGATTTAATTTAGATTTATACTTCTGTTTTCCTTTAGCTGATCTATCGTGTACACTATTTTTCCCCTACGTCCTTTATTTCTGGATAACTACTCAACTTTTCCAAAGCCGCCTCTGCTAGAAGTATTTTAATGTAAAAGTTAGGCCATTTTTGTCATGAAGAATTTGCCACTGAAATTTCAGAACCTGCCATTGCTGTTTATTGTCTATGGGGAGCTAAGAAATGTTCGGTGATGTTGAAAAATAGGTCGTATGCTTTTATGTGTGAGGGAGAGGTCAACTGGTGACAGCCACAATCACTCATCCTTGCAACGGCAATTCAGCCATGGTCGCAGCCCGAAATCTGAAGCTGGTGGCTCTGGAAGCGGAACACGCATATCTCATTTTTTACCTACGTCCCGTAGAATTGTTCAATTCTCCAATGGCAAGGTACATACATATATTGCACTTTACCCATGCCCTACTTATATATCTAAAATTCCGCACAACATGACACAGTAATATTATTTCATTATTATCATGCCTCTGTTTGATACAGATTAAAATATAAGCCAAAGTTAATAATTAATTTTAACCACATATTTTATTGGATCTACAACTTTTAAACTACACATTTCATCAACTTTTATCAAAACTAAAAATCTGATTTTAACCCCTAAACAGGGTTATATGGTGTCCAACTACGTGAGTTTTGTTCTTTGTTGCATGTAGAGTAGATCAATCTTGTTTGTTCTTCCTCAGGCGAATTTGTTTAATGAAAATTTTGCTATTGAATAAAAAATGTTTGAAATGAAAATATGAATTGATCTTATTTTGCTACCACTTGTGTTGTACGGACACTTCAACTAGGTGGCGTCTCCGTGTCCGACACGTCTTGGAAGTGCATCGGACATTCCATCATGGTTATTTTTTTTATCTGAAATATTATATATTTTTAATCTAAAGTTATTATTAAATAACAAATATGTACTCTTATTTAAAATGTTTCAATAAGAAAAATTATTAACAATTTGTCCAATTGGTATCGAGATTCAACTTATGTCTTTCTTAAGAGGAGTTAATGTGTTAGAATCTTGGGGATGTGACAGAAAGCCATAAGGGGTAAGATGGGTGCATGCGAACAGCCAAAATGTAACGACCCGAATTTCAAAATTATAAATCGGTACCAAAAGTTTCATTTAAACTTTAAACAACGTGAGATGCAATACATATAAAATTATGTAACGGTAATTTTTTATATTATTTATTTATAAATAGAAAAAAACGAAGATTTTCCGATGCCATATCTTATTCGTATATGATTGGAAAGATTAAATAAAAATCTATCTATAATTTAAGAATTGGAAATGTCATTCAGCCCACGTTTCAAAATTTACGAATTTAATAACAATTTAGTTGAAGCATCAGACGGTAGAATGATTAATAAAATTGAATTCTTAACAATGTTATCCTCCAATTAATCATATAATCCTATTTATTTCATAATTAAATAAATCAACGGTAACATGTGAAATAAAGAAATTAAATAATTATTCCAAGGAGACATGAAATCAATTGATAATATGGAGTTCTGGCTTTTTTAATTTCTTCCTTTTTCTATTAATTTTTTAAAGCATTTTTTTCAATTAAAACTTTAAAGCCTAAATGAGTCTACATAAAAGTGAAATCTAAGCTCTGATACCATATTGTAACACTCAAAAATTACAAATTTAAATCGTTACCAAATTTATTACATTTTGGCAACTTAACGAGCATACTCTAAAAAATAAGCCCCTGTTTGCCCTCACATTATTTTTTTCATTCTCATTCTTCTACTCATTTTCAACCACAGATTTTTCAATAAAATAATATTTTCCATCACATCAATAACTTTTCCTTTATTTTCAACCACATATTCTCCATCACATCATTTCAAAAAAATGCATTCTTTTATTTTAATGTGCACCAAACATGCTCTAAATATGAAAAAATGATATACTCCGTAATATTTCTTTTTTTATTTTAGAAAATAGTGAGCAATTAAACAATATACGAAGTTTCCCAAATGATGACATTTGCACATTTAATCATATTAAATTGAGTTTAAGGCTAAAGAAGTGTACTTTATTCAATGATTTATTTCCTCAAATCCCATTTCTCCAATTTTTGTTCAAGTAGGCAATGGAACAAGTTGTATGAATAATTTTCATCAAGTGCAAGGACACCAATTATGTGGCAAGTCCATCTGAATTAGTTCAATTCCATAGCAATTCATATTTGCAGTAAAGTCCTATTCCTTGAATGATTAGATATATAATGTCATTTTATTTTACATGATAGTCAACTAATATAATATTGGTTTCACATATAAAAATAACACATGCCATAGTTCATAACCAAATAAATCATGTTTTCAAATCCTTAGATAAAAAGTCGACACAATAATAAAACTAAAGTAAATGCTGGAAGTAAAATCTTTAGTCCCTGTCACGCGTTTTCTATAACGTGATTTATGTCGCAAGTGAAGTGTACGGTGTCAAGTTTTGTAATATAGTAATAAAGTTAGAGTGTTGAACACACAGAGATTGTAATTTACTTTGAAGCTCGGAATCTTCGAAATAGTTGGAGTACACGTGTCGGACACGAACTATAGTAATAAAGTTAGAGTGTTGAACCTACAGAGATTGTAATTTACTTTGATGCTCGGACTCTTCGAAATAGTTGGAGTACCCGTGTCGGACACGAACGACATGGGTATGGGATATGTGTCGGATCTTTCAAATTTCAACTTACACTTTGTCGTTTTTGTTTCTTCTTATTCTTCTTTCATTTTCTTTCTTTTCCTTTTCTTTTCCTTTTCTTCTTTCCCACTTTTGCTCTCTATAAACCTAGTGTCGTCGTCGAAAGGATGGAGAAAAGTGGCGACACTAAGTTTTACCTTCTATTTCTTTATTTTTTCTTTCCATTTTCTTCATTTTTCCTTCTATCTCTTTGTATCGGTGGTTTAGAGTTTTGTTTGTATAAAATGAAAATGAGTTCCATATAGTATTACTTAGTACTCCACTAAGTCAAATTACAATCAAGTTCCTTATTTTTTACTTTATATAACATTTAGTAATTTCCATAATTGAAAACTAAACTCTCACTCCAAAATTTTATTTTATTAGCTTAACCCCTTATTAAATACTCATTTATTTCATTGTGAATAATTAATTTTGGAAATCCTGGATTAGTAAAACAAAATTGAGGTTTGAAAGACGTACCCACGTAACTGTGTCTGAAATTTAGACTTTTTTTAGTCATGTCCCCATATCTTACATTTTATAAAATAAAAGATACGACACCTAGTTATGTACCCGTACCCTATACCAGTACCCGAGTTCCAGCATCATAGGTAATTTAATTCCACTAAATACTATAGTTATGTAACTTTTTATTTTATTTAGATAATGAATGTTTGAATGAATGATTTTAAATTAATTTAATGAGATTGGTTAACAAATACGAAGAATGCAAATAATTAAGTTGAGAAAGCCTAGGGAATGATTTCACTTAACCTTCAATTATGATTCAATGATATCTAATTATGCCAATTGATTTTCCCATATTCAAAAGCAAGAATCCTAAATTACCTCTCTCCCCTCTCTCGAGTGCCGGCTAGAAATTAACCCTAGAATTTAATCTCAATATCTCTATTCCAAATTAAAATCTAGACTTTATCAAGTCCCGATTCTTTTGTGAAGTAAGTTTCATAGATTTTCCACTATCTCGAAATTCATAAAATCTACGTTGTGTCAATCCTATGATCGCGCCTAAATTCCCTATTTCGAGTGTTGGAATTGACTAGCATCTATTCATTCAATTATTGATTAGGTAATTAAAAGTATTATAATCATGACATAATTAAATATAAGCGAGAAAATCAAATAGAAATAATTATAAAATCATCGACCCATAATCTTAAGTTGGGTACATCAAACCCTAGATAAAGTGTTTAGTTCATAATGACATTTATGAAATCAACACAATTTATAATGAAAAACATAAAGAGAAAAGGAAGAAAAACTCTTTTGCAGTTTGAATTCTCCTCCAAATCCTTGTCGTTTTAGCTCTAGATCAATTTTCCTTTATGTTGTCTTCTAAGCCGTCTTCTCCCCTTGAATTAGGTCTTCAAACTTGTATTTATAGCCTTAATAGATAATAACACAGATTGGAGTTGGGCCGGGTCGGGCCGGAAAAATATATAAACACAGGTTTTTTTTTCTCTTTCTCGGGTCACGACGCCAGCCATTCTGCTGATCTTCTTTAAAGCTAGCGCCCAGGCGCCAGCTGTTCTGAATTTGGGCGCCCAGCATTCTGCATTTTTTTTGTTGTTGTTCTTCTCTATTTATTTTGCTAATCTTTTGGTCTTCTCTCCACTTCATTCTTCTCTTCTCTTATCTCCATGTCATACCTCCTTCCATTATCATTATCATAGCTCTATTTCAAGCTCCAAACCACTCCGTTTTCATTCAATTTGTCCAACTACAAAACAACACGAACACACAAATCAAAACGTTCAAAAGTGATCAAGAACAATCTAAAAACTACGATTTAAAGGACTTTGTTTAATGAGTTATTTCGCTCATCAGTCGCGTTATATCGGATTTACTTTATTAAGTCCAATGAATCCAGACACAACGACAACACCTCATCGTCCCCCAACTAACGACCCGTTCTAATCTACGAGAGATAGGAAAAATGGTGAGTATATGTGATTACTCGGTAGGATACGAGTGTTGTGCAATCTCGAATAAAAATATTAATTCATATATCAAAATAGTTACACCGTCATATCACATCTTTAGAAATCGGTAAGAGCTCATAACATGTGAGATCTTTAGTACTGATGGCCATTATCATATCATATCTTTCGTTAACAGAACAATTATCAACATGAAATAATAAAATTAAATGGGGCAAAACCACTTGTACCTCGTTACCTTACCTTAAACTTTTGAAAATCTTGATTTGATGTCCACAAAAATTCAAATTATGTACATCTTGAAGCTACCTCACAACTTTATAAAAAGATTTGCTTTTCCAACTTCTCGGAACTTATGTCCCGAAGGTTACTCAAATAATTCCTTTAGCCATTATAAAAGTTGCTTTACACATTGTAATACAAAGAAATTGAAGAACTTTGTGGAATAAAATAAACTATTTTGTGTCATAATATGTTATATAAATTCAATCTACTAATGAAATGTAAATCCATTGATTTTGAAAATAAAATTCTCATTGCAAAATAATTTTCTAACTAAATACTGAAAGACAATTTAAATTCTTGATCCCGCGACATTGACTCTACCAGTCATCTCAACCTCCAATTCCAGCTGGAAAATATTTTAAATATGGAATATGCATACGAATATACTCAATATAGATTCCATGCCAGTATTTCCATAGTT